CTGCTGATCAATAGTTAATCCTTCTCCTAAATTAGTTTTTTTTTAACCTTGTGATGTGGAATTTAGTGCTCCTGAAAGGAAGAGAATTGAGAGCCGTGAAATAAAGCAGGCTGTATCAATAGGTGATGTGCGCTGCAGGCATCTACAAAGCACGCCTGAAAGGGAGTAGTGCCCTTTCCTGTGGTGACAGGGTAATTTGATCTCCTTCATTTTTTAACTCTGGCACTTTTTTGAGCAAGGGCCTCAAGCTGTATTCAAATTGTGCAAGCCCAAAGGGTTGTTTAATAATTTGCTTTGCCTAATATCATGCCCAATTTTTGCTTACTATCAACAAATTAATTTCTTACCAGAGTTCACAAAAAAGGAAAGACATTTCTTCCTACTTAGAGCAGTGCCTTATTATGCTTAAAAGAAATTGCTTCTCATGAGGAGTGGAGATTATAGTGAATTAAAGATCCATAATGTTGATTTTTTTTAGGAGGAATGGAATCTGAACATAACTTCCAAGTAATTTTATAATCAATAAATAATACATTCTTTTTAAATTGAGGAGAGAGAGAAAGAGAGAGAGAGAGAGAGAGATCAGTACGTACACTCAAACTTGATATTTCGTAGGTTTTCTGGCAGGTCATGGAGAGCTACTTTTAGCCATTCATCTAGCTGCTTTGCAAACTTTCGGATCACCTGAGTCAAGCTGAAAAGAGAAATCACCACTTCAAAGAAAGTTTTTATTCGAAAGGCCTATAAGCTTGTAAAACCACAGCTCCCTGCCCAACACCCCATTATGAGAAATGAGCATATGACATGAGTTTCAAGGATAAATGGTGCCTTATTACTGCATTCAGGTCCAAAATTTGGGATTTGAACTGGGCTTCAAGATACGTAAGACAGGAATGCATGCCAATTCGCAAGGCTGCTTCTGGCTGGTTCAGTGAGTGCTCAGATTGGAAAACTGTGCTTATAATGAAAAGAGAAAACCGGACCCAGTTTTAAGGGAGCAAAGTAGATACTGGGACAAATTCTGGCCCTCATTCATGTCACCATATAAATGGAGAATCCCCAGTGACATCAGCAGTGTACTCCATATTTATTATGGAGCAAAATAGGTTGCTTAATTACCAGGTTCCTTAACTGTCACTGGCCATGTCTACATGTGCACTTTACTGCACAGTAGACTAACTTGCTGTGCAATAAAGTGTCACGGTCTAGTCGTGCACAACAATTAGGCCAGTGTAGCCTAATTTACTGTACCATAGGATAATTCCATCAGACACAGGTACTATCCAATGATGGAGTAAATTACTGTGCTAAAATGAATGTGTAGATAGCGATGTCTGGGTTAGTTTACTCTGGCTCAAATTGTGCTGGAGTTTATTCAGTAGCATTAATTGCACATGTAAGCATGCTCACTGAGAACAGGTCAAGCAGGATGACAGATACAAAGCCGAATGCATGTAACAGACTTGCAGGAGTCTAGAGCAGCGAAGAAACTGCATTGCTTTCTAAATACCTACATTTTGCAAACAGAGTTGTCAAACTGGGCCACATTTGAGCACTACCCTTTGCAAACAACCCAATATGTGTAGACAGAAGTGCTTGCTAATAACTCATTGCCCCTGCAGAGTCACTTGGAGAACTGAGGCCTTGGACAGGAAAGAAAGCATCTGAAAAGATCTTTGGTCAAGCACAAGTCAAACAAACATCAGGAGTACAGGAATAAATCCAGATCCATTCAAGCATCTTTGAAGGTGCTCTCTGTACTTCATTAAACTTGTAACTGTGCTCGGTGTTTTTGGCTTAGAAATAAAAAAAGAAATTAGCCCCAACCTATTCAAACATCAGAAAAAGCAGCATGGTTTTAGCCTCAACCATGCTACTTTAAGGAAGAGTAGAACTGGGGTCAGCTGTGCCAAGCCTGTCCAGACACACAGAGAGGAGGGAGGACAAAAAGAGCTTTTTCCGCTCCCCCTTTGGAGCCTCCATAACCTCACTGCGGTGTACAGCCACCACTTTTTGTGGGTATCAGCTATACATGTTACTCCAGGAAAGGATTTGATGAGGACCTGGACATGGCTGGAAGTGTGTAGTACACCCACTGAGAGGTTGGCTTTACTGGCTCTGCAACATTTGTACCCAGGGAGCCTGAAAAATATTCTGGCTGAGTCAGCAAGAATTCATCCTAGGACTTCCATTGCTATGAGACCCTTCTGAACCCCCCTCCACTGCGGGCTATGCCTTAATAGCCACAATCTGGCCCTTTATATGCATTACAAAAGTCTATATTCACACTCAAGTCTCTCCTTATTTGCTGTGAAAGAACTAAGCAGCTTGAGAAAAGGGCTGTATGCCGTTTAATCCTTCTGATGAAATAGATTTTTGGGGGTGAAGTCTGCAAAAAACTTACAAGATTTATCAAAGAAATCCCGTGCTCGTACACTGATTCTGATTGCAAAAAAAAAAATACTTTGTATCTCTTTAGCAAGTTCTAGAACCTGAATGCTGCTCACCAGTTCATGTAAGTAGAACAAAAGCCTGAAAACATTTGCTGTAATTAGAGCCACAGAAAAATGTTGATGACCAAATGCACAGTGCAAATAGTGAATACTCAAAGCAACAGTCTCAGTAAATTGTTTGTGAGCCTGTCATGTGCTGAAATCTGGCTGTATAAAACCTGTCAAATAATTCTGTATGTGGTACTAATTTATAAAACTATAAATATAAAAAGTCTGTTCTCAAGTAATTCACAAAGGGAGAAAGAAGCTATAAATAAACTCTTTGCTGTGATTTTGCTGATCTCAGTTCTGTTCTTGCTTTTTAATTACAACTCTGTGGACACGTTAAGATCCATACAGGAAAAGAACAGACAAGATCTGCTACGTTGATTAAAGAAGAACTTTGTTCTGAAGCTAAGATATGCCATATGAGCCAATTTCTGGAAAATGCTGAAGAACGCACCCCTATAATAGGTACATATCTATGCTGCATAATATAGTATTAAGTGTATCCAGTGCCCTGTTTGGGGCCCCATACACATTTTAATCCTGGTAAATGGAGCAATACTGTGGGTCTGGGGTTGAACACAAAGACCAGTAGCTGAAATGCATTTGTGCATACATCTGTGGACTACACAGACTTCCCTTGTAATCAGAATTCAGCCTACTGTGATGTCAGTTGTGAAGACTAGCCGGGCAATCTCTGAACATTTTCAAATAAGCTTTACCATGACACTCCACAGCCTGCAGATTTCTGGCACACATACATGCTCATGCCAGAAATCGGACCATCTATTTACTACAAGACTTTTTTTCAGGATTCCAGCTATCTTTAAACTCATTTATGTTGATTCTCATTTGCAGATTGGAAACTTAGGAAAATAATACTTTTTGAGAACTGTACTAAAATAAGAACAGCAAAAAACAAATACCTCCCTGCTAATTCAAACCAAAAAAAAGGTTAATATTGCTTAACCATACTCGCCTGTCAGGTAATGCCTGCAATACTGTTGGCATCAGAACTCCGGAAATAGCTTTGTACAATATAGAATCACAAACTCCAACTATATTTACAACCGTGGAAGAACCCAATACAGGTAGCATGTGAGGTGGCATCCCTTGCCAAAAGTGCAGAAGAAAACTTTGAACCTATAATTGCATACACAGAAAAAATTAAACAAAACACATTAGAATTTCTTTTTAAAAGATTTCCTTACACGCTATTGCTATAGCACTATAGTTGTACGTGGTGCTCCACAAAACTCTCATGAAAGAGTCCCTATCTGTAAAGGCTTGCACTGAAACCTAAGACAACTATGTTCTGTGATGGTACCTACCCATGCATGAGAAGGTAAAGTAACATTTTTAGTGACGGCATCAGATTTAGACTTCAGCTTCATGTTAGCACAGTGCAAAGTCCTCATGTGTCCCACATACGTTTTATCCTCCACCAATAGGAACAGTGGATGCTAATTCTTTGATTTCTACACAGAGAACCTGATTTTGCATTTCTTACCCCTTGTGTAGAGATTTATATATGTGCAAAGTGAATGCCAGATGAGCTAGACATCTTCCAAGATCAATTTGGAAAGAAACAATACATTTTTCTCTTTGAAAGAATTTTCAGAATTTTTATTTTGACTAAATGAAGTTTCCACTTTTTTATTTCCCATGAATAAAAAATAATAGAAACATTAAAAAAATGCAGCTGAGCTCCTGTCCTAAGGTTTGATTAAGGATACCTAGACCATCTCTGACAGTTGTCTAGTCTAACCTTCAATGAAGGAGATTTCTCAACCTTCCTAGGTTATTCAAGAGTCTTGCCAACTTAACAGGTAGAAAGCTTCTTCCCCTTTGCTGTAAAATAGGCTGATTTCTTTCTCTCTGTCTCCCATAGAGAATAACCTGTAATTGTCCCCTTTTATAATAAATTTCTGTATGCTAAAGGATTTTCTCCCTCTTGGTGTTCTCTTATTAGACTTATTAATACAGCTTAGAACCAGAATTGCTTTTTTGCAACAGCATCATACTGACTCTTTTTCAATTTGTGGTCTGTGATATATCCTACATCTTTTTTCCTTAGTATTTCCCCATTTTATATTTGCTTACTTGGTTTCTCTTTCCTATGTGTAATACTTTGCATTTTCCTTTACAGATTTTCATCCTGTTGATTTCTGATAATCCTTCCAACTTCTCAGGACCATTTGAAAATTGAACCTGTTCTCCAAGGCAAATGCAAGTCCCTGCAGTTTGGTGTATTCGTAAAAGTTGTCGGTGTACTCGCTATAGCATCATCCAAACCATAAATAAAAACAGTGACTAGAAATGGACTCAGGACAGGTACTTGTGGAAACCCACTTAAAGTCATTCCACTTTGACAATGTACAATTGAATAATTATTCTCTGAGAGCAATTTTTGTATGCACTCGTTCTGGTGATTATATCTAGATCACATGCAGTTCAGATGTATTATGGAAAAAGGGAGGAAAGATGGAATCAGTATTCAGTAAAGAAAGTGTGGGGGGGGGCAGGGGAGGAGAAGGGATTTCAGCCCCCAAAAAGTGAAAATTTTCATTAAGGAAAAGAAAGCTTTTTTCACAGAAGAAAATACCAGTATTCCAGCGTGATGATGATTACAGCCAATTTGCATTGGTGGAGATGCTTACACAAGGTCCCAAACCATGAAGAATCTGGCTATGATATATGATATGTCGTGTCATGTCATGAGTGTTTACAGTGTCTTGAGTTAAAGAGCTTCAGCTTGGAACTGGGAATAGTAGAAAAAGAGAGGGAGAGGTACACACTAAACAGAGTTCTGGTGTGGATCTCCATGGGGGCCCAAGGGAACTGGGTACCCAGTTTTGTTAGATGTCCAGTTGGATATAGCTGTCTTAATGGTCTTAGACTCCTTTGAACATCCCCAGCTGTCTGTATTCAGATGCCTTAATCTTCTCCATAAGCAGTTTAAGATAATTTGTCTATCAGCAGTTTTTGGAGTTTGTAATTCTCAAACTCTAACTTATGGGATGTCTGTTACCAGACAGTCTTCAGACTAAAAGCAAAAAAATGTATATTTGTGATGGTAAGTTATATATTAAGGTGCGTCCGATCAACATGGTGCCTCAAGCTGACTGTAATGTATCAGTATGAATTCTGGATCCAAAATATATGCTGCTCATTACTAACAGATATACAGGCAACCAACAGGAAGTGTTATTACCCACACTTAGATATAGTTGAGCAAAGGTACATTTATGCTAAACATTGACAGAAAATCTCCAATACCGATCTCTTTTGGTATATAAAGACCTCCCTGGGGAAATGGTGGAGTCATACACAATTGGACTCTTCAAAACACATGAGAACACGGTAGGGGCCAAGCCTATGCTGAAGAAGAGGTAGACTAGATAACTTAGTAGGTCTGGTCTATTGCTAATGTGTGTGTTGCTGCCACAGATTTTTACTCAGCATCAATCACATAAAATGTACACTATTTACATGAGTACAGATACCACCTATTAACCACTGAAATACTACCTACGCAAAAACAATAGCTTAAAATGTCACATTCAAAATATATTCTAAGAATAACCTTAAGCATTATAAAAGTACAAGTCTTTTTTCTTGACATACCTCATCAAAGTTGGCTCTGATTACAGTGTCTAGTATCCGCTGACAGTGAGTTCTGTACATCATAATAAAGGTAGAAACCTGAGAAAGACAGATGCACAAAAGATCAGAATTGAAAAACATTCTGCCTTAAAACATACTATCCAAATATATTGTACAAAAAATAACCTGGCTTTTTTCTCTTTATGCATAACTGCAAAGATAGTAAAATCAGCTAAAACACCAAATTTAGTTAGATTAGGATTGTGAAAAACTTAAGTCTTAAAGATAAATTCTCCCTTTCGATCCATGCATTTTTTTTGATGTCAGTGTGGATTCTTCAAATGAAAGATGAGAAAAAAAAGTCTTGATGAGATCAAAGAGAAGAATGTAGCCCTTAATTAGGACAGAGAGAATATAAACCCTATTCTTTTGTGCACGTCAACAGTATACTACACATGTGAATGGCATTTTAAAACTGGAGGATCAGTCAAGGGGCAAGAAGAATCAAAATGCTTTTTTATATGCATATATACGTTTCTCTCCCTTTCTGGCCTATGTGCATGAGAAATGTCATAAACCCATTCTTTCCTCAAGAAAGCATTATACTTCTAACAAGGAAGTTCACTCCTTGGAGCTGGTACAATACATTACAGAAATGGAGGGCCAGGAGAGTAAGACTGCTGACTTAATCAGGTTTCCTTAGTTAAACCTGTTATATGATATGTACTAGAAATACAGTGTCATGAAGTTACACTGGGCTCAGCAACATTGTGAAGAAAAGGACAGCACATTTTGCATTGGGCACCTAACCTAAAGCAATACTTTTTTTCCTAGAACAGGGAGCACTTAAGTCCTTCATAAATAAAGTCAAAGCATTATTACACTCGCTGTTATTTAAAGGGCCTTACATTTTAGATCAACCTTTCACCCACAGATAAAAAGCAAGGCAGGCCAAATGAATATTTCAGAAGTGTTACCTTCTCCTCTGGCAAACTGGCTGGCAGATTTAGATCTTTGACATTTGGAAACTCTGGCAGTAATGTTCCAAGTTTGGAACGTGGTGAATACGCCACTGTCTGTTTGGTTACTTCTTTTTTTCCTGTTTCATTGACCCAGGCTGCTCCTTTCTTAGAATACATCACGTCATAATACTGGGAGTTCTCTTTCACTGCAATGCCATAATAATGGTACCTAACGCGTAAAGATGCACATTTTATAAACTGAGTTATTCACACAACATAAAAGAGAAGGGAAAAAGAAAAAATATGCAACTACTATTTTTTTAGCAAATCAGTTTCCATTCATTCACAAATGCTGGATCAATGAAAGAATATTGTAATGTAGCAGCTTTCCACATATCAGTCCTGCTGCTAAAACTATCCTAACACAAAAAGTAAACTCAGTTCTCTTACATGGCAGAAGAACAGACAGTGCAAATTTTTGTTGGCACTTTTGGAAAATTCTCCCTAAAGGCATTTTTTGAGAAACTTCCTGGTGGAGAGCTCTGCAGCAGCTCTGGCGCAGGGCTACAGAACCAGATCCTTAGGACTGCTATACCCCTCTGCTATCATTGCAGCACCTTGAATCTCAGACCCCATAGTGGCAATCTGATCCTGAGAAGCAAAAGTCTTCATCCCAAATTAAGCTGATTGGACAGTGTGTAGATGGAACAACATTTCAAAAAGAAACGGCATAAAAGGGTTGCACACAAACTGACATATGCCAGGAAATATATGTTTCAGGATGCCCACCCACTCTCTGTTTCCTTTTAAATGGTCAGAACAAATTTTAGGTTCCACCTCTCACAGGAGGTGACCACAGCAGTCCTGTCTTGTTATACATCCAAGAGATGACAATCATGTCCTCAGACTATTTTGCTGTGCACATCACACATTTCATTGACTTTCTCATGAGTGAGCTCCTCATCCCCTGCTCCAGTCCCCTCATGTTAAGTAAATGAAATATAGCACTCAAATGGTCCTCAAAACCCTTATCTCAGCTCGGGGAGAATTTCTCCCTTAGCAGGTGTAATCCAGTGGTGAGCATGTGTTATAAGGCCTGCTTTGTGCTGATGCAAAGAGAATACAGCCCTAGCTCCACAGCTTTGGTTCTTGAGCACAAGGTGCAGCAGCTCCAGTCCCTGAATGTCCCTAGTTCATTTTCTGGTGTGTTAGCCAAGGAAGTGGCCATTATGCAGGCATTGTGAGAGACGGCCATGAAGCTGCCATCTCATCCTGCTTGTATGCTCTGGTGTCAGGAGGCATAACTGGTGGGGAGAGAGAGGATTCACACTAATTTGGGGCTGGGTCAGGAGCGGGTGTGTCCGGGGAAAGAAATCATGGCAGGCAGCAATGCAGAGTACCTGAGCAACACCAAGAGGTTTTTGCGGTATAAACAGGGCCCTGGGTCTCAGAGCAGCACAGGATCAAAGGTGGCTTAAAGCCTCAGTTTCCCTGGGTTGTAAGTAGGGCTGTGTGAAGCTTTGGTCCCCGATTCGATTCAGTGGCGATTCGGTGCCCGAATCTCCGAATTCAGATCAAATCAGGAGACCCTTTAATATCTTCCAATCGAATCGGAACCCTCCAAATCGATTCAGAGAGATTCGGAAAGATTTGGTGATTTGGACATAGACACAGCTTTAAATGTTTTATCTACATACCTCTAGGTAGCAGGCAGCTCATGAATGCTGTGATGCTGGGGCACATGGAGTGTCCCACGGGAGCATGGGGGGGCTCCCCAGTGTGCTCAGCAGCAGACCCAGAAGTGGACCAGAATCATTTCCAGTCCACTTCTGGGTCCACTGGGGAGCCCCCCCACACCCTACCAGCTCAGCGACTGGTACCTCTTGAGTCTGTGGGGGGCACCCAGGGTCCCCCCATGGGCGATCGCCAAGCCAGGAGGGGAGCAGGGGGGCCTCCCAGTGCACTCCCTGGTGGACCTGGAAGTGGACCTGGAAGTGGACCGGAACTATTTCCGGTCCACTTCCAGGTTTGCCACTGAGCATGAGGGGGTGCCCTGCACTCCTATGGGACGCAACATCCATCCCAGCAATGCAGCATTCATGAGCCATGCTGGTACCTCGAGGTACGTAGAAAAAACACTTAAAACTGTGTCTATGTCTGAATCGCTGATTCTCTGAATCAACATCGAATCTTCAAATTTGGATTCAGCCAAATTGGATCAGGGACAGTGATCCGAATCAACGAATCGAATATGGCCAGTTTTGCACACCCCTAGTAGTGAGTTTTCACGCCAGGGGTGGGGGGATCCTTTTAGTAAATTCAGCAATCCAGGGAAGTTTTATTTGATCTCAGTTATGCTTACTTCATAAACAAAATATGAAATAAAGCCTCAAGAATTTGATTAGCCTTTACTTTCTGTTGTTTAATTTCTGGTATATTATACCCAGCAATACACTGCACAAAATGGATTTTCAGCTAGGCCCCTAAATCAAAGAAACAATAAGATTCAAAATTAATGTATTACCTATCTGGAAAGACTTCTCATTTTTACCAGTTTTATTACTCCCAAGGGCAAAAACTCATAAGCACACTTTGCAAGCATTCTTTCCCAAATTTCCCTTTATGTTACCATCTGAAAAAGTTAAGCCATTGGACAATATGCTAGTTTTATCTTAAGGAGAATAAAAATGCAGACCACACAGAGACATTTTATATGAAATAGTGAAATGAGCTTTTCTTTCACAGGCTGAGTATCTGCAGCACTCCTTCAGTGAAAGAAATATAATTCCCTTCATGCTATGTAGTTTCCATTGGTTAAAGTAACCCCTTGTGTATATAACTGAAGAGTTTCCCCACTATGGTACAGAAAGAAGCCAGCTTTTATGTTGAGCTGCCTTCTCATGACTCACCTGTGGTGGAACTGTTTTTAAGCTCAGCTGTGTTTCTTGCGGCAATAAACCCTGTTGCAAAGGCTAAAGCCTTCTGACTGATGTCCAGAAACACAGTGATGCTGTAACTCTGGACTTTGTAATGATACAAGGGAGCCATACCATGAAAAGGCTGAAGGCAGACCAGTGCAAAATTGATAATCTTAAACATTTCTACAGCCCAAGTTCTATTTGGCAGTAAGTGGGCAGTGGAGTGAAATATGAATGGCAGAAGCTGGTCAGTACAGTCATGGACAGAGAGACTGAAATATAGTGTATGGTTTCTAACTACTCTGTCTTTCATTTAATATGAACAAGATCAGAAACTACTGAAAATAGGAGCAGAACTCAACCAGAGCAGTATGGTTTTTAGCAATTAATGTTTTTATTGTAATGACTGTAATATGTGGGTATTTCTACCTTAACCCTTAACTGGAAAGAACAGAAATGCTATATTCTTTATACCATTAACAGCTAAAAGAGATGTAGCCTCCTCCTTCTGGAGTGGAAAGAAGTGAATTCCATGCCTGCTCCTGCTGTGAAACTCGATTGGCCATGAATCCATCTCAGTGGCAAACATGAATTTTCTATGTGGCTAAGGAGTTGCTACAATAAGGATTGTATATAGTCTTATAGAATTGTTGTTATTTTGCCTGGCTTCTTATTTTAAAGGACGATTATTGTTAATGACAGTCCAAGCCAAGTCTGGGAGTCTTACTGGCTAATCCAGTGAAACACTATGCAACCACTGGATATTCTAATGAAAATCCCACATCACCAAGAATGGGCGATGTGAATATTAAACTGACCATATCTGCCTGCAAATACACATCCATAACATATCCTGTTACAGTCTGGTGCTGTTTTGCAAGGAACCTTCTTGGGGTTCCTTGGCAGTCAAAAACTATCCTTCTGAGTTCGATAGCAGAGCACTGGCCACTGTTTTGATGCATGCAGTGATGTGCCCATAATTCTGTATTAAATATGAGAATAATTACATTCAATTTCTGTTTGTGCAAATTATCTGTGGAATTGGACTCTTGGTAAACTGCCGTTGTGGCTCTCTTAAGTGTGCAGATGTTTGGCATTGAACAAATGTATTACTCATTCCGGCATTCAGATGATGGCAGTACCACATCTTCCATGCATATAGTGAGTGACACTGGCAAACATGGTTGAACTCATACTTTCCTTTCAGTTGAAAGGCAGATAACCAAATGATTTTGTAGCTGACACCCAGGTAACTTCATGGCCAGCAAAGTGCATCAATACATGGCACATTCCCCAAAACTGCATGTCAGGCCTTCAGCTATCCTGCCCTTCCTAGCCTCTCATGGGACTCCCATCCTGTCCTAACCCCTGGAATATTGAGCTGCAACCTACAATGCTTTGAGATAAGGTACAGCTGAGGTAGTGCATCGTTTTTATCTCAGTGCCATTTTGAGTTGTTAATTATTATGATAGCTGGAGAATGGTGTCCAGAGCTGGCATTTGGGGCTGGAGGAGATTTCAATTTCAAAATGGATTGAGGACTATCATAGCTCCAGAAAATGAGAATTTGGTTATGATACACAGGAAGGTGGTCGTGAATTGCATGGTAATACAATTCCCTTAGTCTTCACTTCAGGGAGATGAGAACCTTAGTTTCAGGAAGATGGTAGTGAATTGCATGGTAGGTAGTGCTGATGTCAGGGAAGACAGGTGCCTAAAAATAGGTCATCATGAGCATATTTATTAGAGAAACGGAATCTGATTTTAAGTGGCATTTGATTGTGTTTTAATGCACAAACTATTCTTCCTTTTTATCATGGATATATGGATTTAACTCTCATGATATGCTTTTTCTTATTGTTTAGCAATATTGTGCCTGTAGGCTTTGCATGGAATGGTAAGTTTTACCAACAAAACTTTGCAGCCAAGTTATCTAAGGCTTCCTTCTCATACTGCTTCACAAATATGAGAGAGTCAGATCTGGTTTAATATTTGAGTATTCAAGGAAAGTTTAGGTGCAACAGGAAGCGTGCTCTTCTTTCTGAACCAACACTGAACCACTTCCCAGCTGTGAATTAAGGAAGTACTTTGCTTTGGAAATACCATCTTTTGGATGAAGCAGGAAACCATTCATGGTTATTAAAGATCTCATGAATTTAAAGATCTCAGCATCTCCCAAGAGTAAGTAGACACAGGTTTCCTGGACATTTGCCAGTTTGGGCAATTAGTATTTTTTCTAGATAGATTCCTTATAGACTTAGACATACCGTTATGCCGTTTATGCCCTACATTTCATGCTGTGTAACAGCTACCACACATCACTCCTGAATGGCTGAATGTTGGTGGTGAATGTAAATACTCTGTATAGCACGTATAGTACTTTGGGATCCTTTGGGATGAAAGGGCTATACAAAGTATATATAAAATAAAGTATTGTAACTCTATATAGTTTTGGATTGCAGCACAGAATGTTAAAATGCATTGAACAGTGATTCTCAGTTAGGGTGCCATAGCACCCTGGGGTGCCTTGAAATCCTTTCAAAGGTGCCACAGGTTGCCACGTAATGTTAACATAACACTGTTCAGTGTGCACACGTGATTTACATAATAAGCTCTGAGATTTCAAATAGGAATCCATAGTGTTAAAAACATTCTGACCTGTTCTGTTCTTTCTGAGTTCTTTGCAAGAGAAGATTTACTCAGTTTTTCAAGTCTAAAAAGGTTGAGAACCACTGGCATAGAAGATCCTTATTTAGACTACAGGTGACTAAAATTCCTGAACCAGTAAAAAGTTCTGCCCTATTATGCTATGTGGCATATTCATTTTTGGTGACAAACTACTACAAACATCTTCAGGAAGCACTTAAAGAGCTTCTTATTTAGGCAGGCATTTAGCAAGCAAGGATCAGTTGGGATATCATGTAGGAAGTTTTTATGTCTTATTTTAATATTCTATCTGCTTTATGAGTGATTTTGTCTTTTACGGCAAGTTGCCCTAAGTCTTTGTCGGAAAGGGTGTGAAATGATGGCAGAATGTGGCCCTGTAAGAGAATGATAATGTAATACTTTACATTACTTACTTAGACTGGCCTCTAGTTCCAAGTCTTCTCGTCGTTAATTGTGGAAATTGTTGCCTTATTATCTGTAAATAAATAGAGAAACATGTTACCAAGTCTGAAAAGCCTATGTAATAAGACTGCACTTTAATTTAGTCTGGGGAAAAGAAAAGGAATTGTAAAATACATACAGTAGAAATCTGATCACTAGCCCATTATGTATATGCATATGTATATGTTTTTCTCTTGGACTCAAGGAAAAATTATAAATAAAAGTCAGAACAATTCCACTGATTTCTATCAACTTAAAGCTTTTCTGAATTTACAGTGGGGTGAAATGTGCTTAATTAAACTCAAAGGATAATACTGTCTTTACGCTTAATGAGAACTGCCCCTAGAATTGGGCCTACACTTAAAGTTACTTATATGTGTGTTAGCTGGATCAGTTGGCTTCATTCTGCTTGACAAAGACACTAATCACTGGAAAATGTTCTCAGTATCTTGCTCAATGTACATTTTTAGAGGTGAATTGTGGGTTGTTGGGGTTCTTTTAGCATTTAAGTAATTTTTGGTTATGGAACATTAATATGTGGGCAGCATCCCAATTATCCTAATATCTGGAAGAAGGGTTTTTTTGATCTATAGCAGTACTTTAAGGCCCCCATGCCTCTGTCACTACACACCCTCTTTTCTAAGAAATGTAGCCTGGCAAGATTTTGTTCTTAAATAAAAGCCACATATCCATTAGATAAGGTTCACAGTTGCAATCACAGAGGTAGCATAATATTCAGCTTAGTCTGGATGGAAAACAACAGTGTCCCAAGAACACAAGGCTAAAGCAAAGAATCTAAACTCTGATTTATGCTGAAGAGACAAAAAAAAAGGACTGGTAACATAAACAATATATCAGTGCCAGCAACATTTAGGGCTCTGAATTAATGAAGGTCTAAGAGCAGATTAAGCCTTCAATAATGAATGCAGGCTCCTCAGCACCTTCCAGGATTGAACTCAGTTTGCAGTATCACATGAAGCTTGATAGGAAGGAAGGCAGCAGGCCTTGACGATTAATTTGCAGGAAGATTTTGTTCCTTTATTTTACTCATGGACATTTTTAGTGGTAATCATTCTATGTTCCACCCTAGTTTATTGCTGAATTTTCCCCATACTTGACAAGAGCCAAGAAAAATTAATTGAAGACACAGATGAAAGGAAGGAAACAGCTGTTCAAACACAAGAAAAATGTCAATTTAAAAATGAATTAAATAATACAGACTTTTTCTATGAAGTCATTTGGTTAAAACTGGTATCAGCAGCAAATATCTAATCGGAGAGATGACTGAAAGTTTTGGAACGTACGTTTGCATCAATAAAGACATTGCAGCATTGCATATTTGGCTGCTATTTCACAAATGAAACCTACCAATCATTTTTCTGTTTGCAACAGGTGACCGACCCAGGCTTGTTTCTGAAAGCCTCACATAGTTCGGCTTATGTCAAAAAAATGCTGCATATGCACAGAGTTGCTAATTTATTCAGCTTTCATTTCTGGAGCAAAACTTCAGCAAACAGTAAAACACTTTTGTGGAGCTGTGAAAGTTCAGCCTCGCTGTTTGATAAATGAGCAGACAGGCAAGCAGCCCTTCTTTCTTTTTTTGTATGGATTCAATGAAGCCTGCCTAAAGAACACCACATGCTGTTCCAGCTACTGATCTAACATTCCGCAACATCTCAGCCTTCCAAATTCCCTTTAATTACACATTAATCCCACCCCTCTCTCTTTCAGTTTCTGCAGACAGGGTTGGGGGCTCCACAGGGCTGTGGGAAAAAGGCAGCGTTGAAGAACTACTTTCTGGGGATGCTTTTTTTTGTTCTGTTTTGTTTTGGTAGTGGTGGTTGTAATTCACAATGTATCATTCTGCTCCCAAAGTTGGATATTGCACCGGTAGATTCAAAAGCAAACATGAATGTTCAGTGTTACTTTTACCCTAATTTTCTGCCAGAACAATAAAAACGGGATTTACTCTCCAAGTGTGTCAAGTAGTGATGAAGTGTTACAATGCCCGGTGCAAATGTTACCTGATGAGCCAGAAGCTGTGGGGGTTTTTGTGGCTCAACTAAGTCAGCCATTTTTATGTGATCCAGCAGGGGAGATCAGGAAAACAGAAGAAAAGAGTAGCTCATCACTGCATTCATTTGTTTTTAAACCCAGCATATGTTTCACATTTTAAACTGTAAAATAAATTCCTTGCTGAAGTGTGCATGTTACTTTTAACAAGCTTCTGTTTTGATCATTTTTTTTTAAAACAGCATAAATCGAAAGAAAAAAAAAACAGGATTCTTCCATCCGTGGGTGTGTGTGTCTGTGCATGTGCGTTTGTGGGAGAGTGAAAGAGATAAGTGTGTAAAATTTTCAAGTGAAACAATTTTTGAAAAAAAGTAATGACAGTTAATTACAAGATTTACGGTGGAAGATAACTCTTTCCTCGTTCTAGAGGACAGCTCTATATCCACAGACAGTGTAATTTCCCTGCCTGTAGGTAGGAAGTGAGGTCAAGTAGGCTGGGGAGAGGCTCACTATGTGTTGAAATGAATGGGAAAAGCAGACAAGTCTCATTGCTGATTTTAAAGTTCACTTCTATTCTGAAAAGAAACTGGAAAAACAGTATTGGGGGGCATCATGTTTACTAGCTTTCAAACAACAACAAAGAAAAAATATTTTTTTTCCTTGCTATCAGAACTGGAAATTCAACAGGAATTCCCACTAATGAAAGCTCCATGAGGCCACAGTGACATATTTGGGGGGCAAGATTTGACCCTGCAATTTGAACCTAATTAATAACTCTGAATAAATTCTAGCTCTGAATAAAGTAGAAGCAGGAGTAAATTAAAAAATAACATGCTGGGTAAAGTCCGGGCCCCACTGGAATCAGTGAGTCGTATGGTATTTAACAAGGACAGGATATCATCCCATATGTCCTGATAGTGACTGAATATGAATATGAGTATTTATAGAGTGATCTACTGAGTAAAGTGGTGTTAAGTTTTATATTGTCACTGACTAATGACAAAAATCTGATTTTAAATTACACTACAATTTGGGAGTATGCTTTAAGTTTATTTTGTAAGACAGAGGAAGCCCAGGACAGTCACATGGAGTTAATCTGTGCTCTCTATCTCAGAAACCCAGAGCTCTTCTCCTTTCCTTTCTTCATTAACAAACATGACTTGGCCTAGTGTTAGTCTTTCCCTCTTCCCTTGTTGCTAGCTTTTTCACGAGCCACTTAAAAAATCTCCCACCTTTTTGTATAATATCAGCAATCACATTGTCACAACCTGATGCCCCTGTAGCAACTGCCCTGGACTTAGATAAAAGAAAGGCCAGATTAATTATATTTTAAAGCTACATCTAGCAGACAAGGTTCTTTGGGTAAAAATTATACCTTTTATTAGACCAACTCCTTAGACCAACACACCAACACGGCTACAACCAAGCTACATCTATATATTTTTCTTTTTTTATGTCTCCATTTGTTCAGCTCTTTTGAAGTTGATCCTGTAATGCAGTTTTCTGCAAACAGACAGAAACTCTCTGCTGTGTTTTAATATTATGAGAGAAAAGGCAGGAGAGGACCCTACTGCAAGTATATGTGGGGGATGACCTTTGATCTCCAAAGTTATGGGGGGCCTCAGATATAATAAAGGGGGCCTCCCTTCAAATCAGCCCTCCTATTTGAGGTTAAACAGCTTAGGTAGAATGTACCAAATATATTCATAATCATTAGAGCTAAAAAGCTTTTAATCCAGTGATCCTTTTTTTAACCTAGAGGAGTTTGCCTAAAATAATCCAAATTAAATATGCAGTTAACTTTTTATTCTAATATTCTAATATTTTAAGAGTTACCAAAATATAGCTGAGTCACCTACATATCAATGCAACATTGCAACAGTGTTATGAACAGTGATATAAATATTCTACCCCTGCAACAGCATATATAGTACTCTACATTTGACATACAAGCATGAGGTATAGATAGCTACAGAAGATGACATGTAAGCAGTCACTGGCTGCACACTTACGTGATCTGTAATTTATAATTTCACCTCTTGCCACATGTTCCTCAGCAATATGAGACTCAAATGCAACCACAGTCCTTTTTATCTTTAAAATCATAACTGCATCATGCATTCTGCCTTCAAGCCCTGCACCAGAGGCCACCATTCCTTATCCCATTCACCACTGAGCTGTGAACATTACACTTTCCAATTATACCACTTAAATTCTTCCATGGTATGGGATTCAAAAACATCAGCTCAGGCCCCTGTCTTCATGCTGACAAATAATGATGGAAGAGACCAGTGATCTCTGTAAGCTTTTGAAGACTTTATAACTCTTTTGTATGCTAAAGTCTTGGATTTTGCAAAACTTTTCCAAGAAGGATTTTCCCTCTTATTTAAATTGTTATATTTAAAGGTTAAATTTAATGAATTGTGCTAAATGGAAGTCTCTGCTATGCTTCATAATTTCTCTCACTTCTTCTTTGAAAACAATTCTTTCTGTGTTTCTCATACTATCAAAAGTAATGGTATACATGTAAAAATAAAACAAAACAATATATAGCAGCCCAGACCCTGAAATCTCCTGGAACAACAACAAAAATTCCAACTACTAAAATTCATAGATCTGGTTTAAAAATTCATGATTTTCAAGTAGGTTCTAATTACAAAAGAAGAAATTCTCTCACCCTCCTAATAATTCCTGCCTCCAGGTCTATCTCCATTACTCCAGCAGGCCCCAACATTCAGCTATCATTGATGAGCTGTGTTTCCTCTTGTACCCCCAGATTTCTATTAGTGTATCCTGAGCACTTTCTTAGCTTGTACGAGATGCAGAAGGAATTGTGTCTTATGCCTCAATCTTTTAAGTAATTACCTCTATAGGTTTGGTCTCAAGCAACTCCACTAGGGTAATCACTCTCTTCCTCTTAACTGCGGGGGTTGGCCTGCTCCCTCCCAGCTGTGTTCTCTTCACTACCCATCGCTGTTAAAATGAGGAATAATTCATACTAATGATACCTTCAACTTTATG